CTGTGAGACGCTGCAGGTGTAAGAGACTCTGTGTGTTCAGGTGCATTAAAACTGAAAGGTCTTTAAACCCCCACACCTTATTGTCCTCAAGCTTCATGAGAAACATCATTTAGATGAGGAGTGTTGAACACAAGTAAAAAAGTCCAGTGGTGATGGTTTTTATTTCTCTATAAACACAAATAGTGCCGACGTGACGCTCTGTGTTAAAGTGTATTAAAGTTAAAATTACTTTAAACCCACAGCTGAATTTACACAAACTTGGTGAGAAACATGTTTAAATGTGTGGAATTAAAGGAAATCTCAGTGAAATGTTGCTATTTTGTTCACAGGTGTACACTTTTTGTGTGCGCACGTGCACATGCACGCGCGCACACACCTACACACATCAGTGTTTCCCCCCACATTACGGATGCTTCTGACACCCTTGCATCTGATGAACTAACAGTCTGACAGATCATCTGACAGGAAGATGTTGTGAATAACAGTGGTAGAAAAACAGTCAGTAATGTTTTACTTTTTTAGTGGTTTGCCTTCTGTTTTTGTTCTGGTGTGGAAGTTCCAATGCATCCATCTATCTAGCTAATCAGATTATCCATCCATCCATTTTCTTTCGCTTATCTGGGGTCGGGTCGCGGGAGTAGCTGCTTAAGTAGGGAGGCCCAGACTTCCCCAGGCACTTGGGATAGCTCCTCTTGGGGAATCCCAAAGCGTTCCAGGCCAGCCGAGAAACATAGTCCCTCCAGCGTGTCCTGGGTCTTCCTCTGAGTCCCTCCCGGATGATCGAGCTTCTCACCTTATCTGTAAGGGAGAGTCCAGACACCCTTAGAAAACTCATTTCAGCCGCTTGTATCCGAGATCTTGTTCTTTTGGTCACAACCCAAAGCTCATGACCATAGATGAGGGTAGGAAGGTAGATCGATCGGTAAATTGAGAGCTTTGCATTTTGACTCAGCTCTCTCTTCACCACGACAGACCTGTACAGCGCCCGCTTCACTGCAGACGCTGCACCTATCCGCCTATCGATCTCACGCTCCATTTTTCCCTCATTCGTGAACAAGACCCTGAGATACTTGAACTCATCCACCTGGGGCAGGATTTCCTCCCCGACCCGGAAAGGGCACTCTACCCTTTTCCGGCTCAAGACCATGGCCTCGGATTTGAAGGAACTGATCCTTATCCCGGCCGCATCACATTTGGCTGCAAACCGCTCCAGCGAAAGCTGTAGATCATAACTTGATTAAGCCAATAGGACCACATCATCTGCAAAAAACAGAGAAGCAATCCTAAGGCCACCAAAACGGATCCCATCAACACCTTGGCTGTGCCTACAAATTCTGTCCATAAAAGTTATGAACAGAATTGGTGACAAAGGACAACCTTGGCAGAGTCCAACTCTCACTGGGAACAAGCCCGACTTACTGCCAGCAATGCGGACCAAGCACTGACACCAGTTGTACAGGGACCTAACAGCCCGTATCAAAGGGCCTGGTACCCCATACTCCCGGAGTACCCCCCACAGGGCTCCCTGAAGGACGCGGTCGAATACCTTCTCCAAGTCCACAAAGCACATGTAGACTGGTTGAGCAAACTACCACGCACCCTCCAGGACCCTGCTGAGGGTGCAGAGCTGGTCCAGTGTTCCACAACCAGGATGAAAACCGCACTGCTCCTCCTGAATCCCAGGTTCGACTATCCAATGGACCCTCCTCTCCAGAACCCCCGAATAGACCTTATCAGGGAGGCTTAAGAGCGTGATCCCCCTGTAGTTGGAACACACTCTATGGTCCCCCTTTTTGAATAGGGGGACCACCACCCTAGTTTGCCAATCCAGGGGAACTTCCCCCGATGTCCACGCAATATTGCAGAGTCATGTAAGCCAACACAACCCCACAACATCCAGAGCCTTAAGGAACTCCGGGTGAATCTCATCCACCCCTGGGGCCCTGCCACCGAGGAGCTTTTTAACCACCTCGGTGACCTCAGCCCCAGAGATTAGAGAGCCCAACCCAAAGTCCCCAGGCTCCGCTTCCTCAGTGGAAGACGTGCCGGTGGGATTGAGGAGGTCTTCAATGTATTCTTCCCACCGACCCACGACATCCCGAGTTGAGGTCAGCAGCACACCACCTCCACTATAAATAGTGTTGGTGATTAATCAGATTAATCTGCCAAAAAACCCGGTCTTGCCTCAATGATTACCTCCCTGTTGCTTTGACTCCAGCGATAACGAAGTGTTTTTGAGAGAATTGTCCTGATCATCATCAGTGAGGTCATCCCTGTCATTCTCAATAGCCTCCAGTTTGCCCACAGGGAAACTGATCAACAGAAGCTGCAGTCTCACTACTGTTTCACTCAACCCTGACCCACCTGGACCATCCTAACACGTCCATTAGGTTGCTACTTGTTGACTTCTGTTAAGCCTTCAATACTGTGATCCTGATTTCTTTGTTGAAATCAGGTCTCTCTTGTAAATGAGTCCTCGAGGCTCAATGGGATTTACCTGTCTAAATAAAGGTTGATTGGAAAAGCTGGTTCTAAAGCTCAAGAATCTGGGAGTGTCTGCGCCACTGTGTTCCAGGGTTTTAGACTTTCGGATCTACAGGGTTCAGATGGTGAGGATTGGAACTGTACATTGTCCAGACTGGTGATGAACACAGGTGCACCACAGGGCTGTGTGCTCAGTCTAGCCTCAATGATTACCTCCCTGTTGCTTTGACTCCAGCGATAACGAAGTGTTTTTGAGAGAATTGTCCTGATCATCATCAGTGAGGTCATCCCTGTCATTCTCAATAGCCTCCAGTTATCACTCTTCACTCATAACCATTCTGACATCTACTCTACAAGCACTGTTGTGAAGTACACTGGCAACAGCATTGAGAGTATCAAGGTCCTAGGCCTACACATACAGGACTGGAACTGACTTGGTCTCTGAATACATCCCCTGGTGAAAAAAGCCCAACAAAGACACTTCTTCCTCTGGAAGACAAAGCCGGTTGGACTCCTCTCAACTTCTGTCAAACTTTTATAGAGCTCTAACAGAGAATATTCTCTGTCTCATTACCACTGAGTGGTAAGGTAGCAATACAACACAGGACATAAGGGAGTTTGCTCAGGTGGTGAGAACAGCACAGGGGATTGTGGGATGTCCTGTCTCAGATCTGCCATCAATATATGCTGGCATGGTCCAGAAGAGAACCAGACCTGGTTAACTGGCTGTATGGACCACTTCCTTCTGGAAAACGTACAGATATGTAAAAGCACAAACCACCAGACTGAAAGACAGTGTCAGGTATCATCTTCCTGCTGCAGATACCAACAAACAGAAATTTGCTTCTTTTGCACACACACACACACACACACACACACACACACACACACACACACAC